GGAAACTTCCAACAGTTGCAAAACAAACGTTCTGCTGAACGCAGCTAATAATAAGTTGTCGAGATTGAAACTGATTTAATTTCAAATTCAAAGTTATAATGCGAAAAATAACATATATAGATATCCTCTCGCAATTTCAAGTAGAAATGCAGGCTTGACTTTGCGAGAAAGATTTTCTTACCTGCGGGGCTGGTCAGTATAGGTCGTTTGCGTGGCTTCAATAACGTCAGGATAGCGATCGCGACGGAGACTAGGCATACCGTTACGAATACGGCCATCCAGGCCTCCGCGAGTCTCTTGTCCTTCTGGGACCAAAGGATATCGGCATCACAAGCGGCGGCGCATTTTCCAGAGCGATTCAGGAAGATGTATAATCCAGACTTGGCGTACCAGGAACAGCCCCAAGGTCCGTTGCTAGTGCTTACCGCCTGGATAGCGACACGACGATATAATGCGACGCGACGATACAATAGGTATTTAGTCGAGCAACAATTTTTAATTGTTTCCTCGCTGTATTCGCTAAATACCTGAATAGGATTAGCTGGCCCTGGCTCGCCCGGTCCTTCCATGCACATGTGCTGGTGATTGTTTTCCGGTGGAAACTTGGAACAGTTCAATGCGGCGGGCCAGGGAAAACCGAATCCCTGAAGAACCGGGTAACAGCGTGCCCGCACTTGTTCGCACAGACCTCGACAGGGACCTATAGGTGCGGAGACCTTCTCGGTACACATCGGAGCATACACCGAACACAAGAACAGATGCAATTGCGCGCTGCAACAAGTTATAGAATATAAAGAAATGTATCTATAATATGAAATCAGCTGCAATGATATATACCTGTAATATAATGTAAATAATGCGCAAGGCCGACAATGCGTTACGTACGTAAAGATAATTGCTTGTACATTTTCGTGGGAAAAAATCATTTCGTTAGATATCTACTGTTATAAAGCAAAGATTACAGTTATAAAGAAAACGCTTCGTATTAAAAGATAAACCGAAATGATACGCGAAGAATGAACATTTACCTGCATCCGTATTGAATGAGCGGGCTGAACGTTTGTAAGGTAAAATCGGCATCGCCTTGAATCTCGTGACCAACTAGATTCGGCATGACAGTGACATTGTAGCCAAGGCCACGACACATCTCGATTCTGATCGGCTCGCAGGCGCCGTGCGCGCACCATATTGCACGTATCAACGTCAACAACGGCAACAAAATCCAACGCATTTTCCGCGAAAAAATCTTTTCCAATTCGTTATGTCGTAAACGTTGTTTCACGTTTTTTGTCGTACATGGTACTCGCCGTGCGATTGAGATCGGCTCGAAGTGCTGCAACTTCTAGGATGTCGATCGTGCATCATGCGGAAGTTTCAATCGGAAACTCTAAGAAAAAGCGTAAAACATGATAATGGAAGAGAGATAAATCGCCTATACGTGTGTGTATATATAAATAACAAGTTTTTATATTAACTTTATTTTAATTGGAATTTCTGGTGAGAAAAAAACTTGTAAAATCGTGAAAATTTACTACGGAAATATGTTGAGAAAAATTATATTAAAAATGCACATGGAAAAAAAAGCATTGAGAGTTAATTCAAAATTTGACTATAAGAGAGGTGTGCTTTTTCGATCAACGAAGATTTAATTTTACTATTTATTCAACTGGACTCACTTTCTTGTCGTAATTACAATCCTGTCATAGCTTTATTTGAAGAGCCGTCAAATTCAATCTTGACGAAATAGTTCAATTAACTTGCTTGCGCGTTAAATGAGATCAATTTAACTGGTGCTTCTCTCCAATGTAGATTCGGTCTTGGTTTTAATTTAATCAAGTTCCAACAACTGTGTGTGTGTGAGAACTCAACACGATAACTTAACATCGCACTCTGTCCTTGGCGCGACGCAGATTAAACTCGATGAAATGTACGTAGATTTCACACACACATACACACACACACACACTCACTTCAATTTAATAATTTAGAAATAAGATATATATTTGAAAAATAATTAACTTTACATATGTATAACGTGAAACACATCTTATTGTTTCTTCTCTCAGAAAAGGAACAGCTTGCAAACCATTCACGAGGACATGCGTACGCATGCATGCACGCACGCACGCACGCATGCACGCACGCACGCACGTACGCACGCACGCACGCAGCAATGATTAATTAACAATTGGCCGATCCAGCGTGTGACGCGCGACACGCGCGCATTTTTAAACAAACGTAGAAATGCGATTTCAAACGTGAACGTAGAAATAAAATCGTATCACAAAGGCGACCGCATAATTGGCCAATCACGGAAGACGATCACGCGGGCTACAATGATCCTTCAGACGAATCATTGTGAATTTAATTAATCGGCGAATCAATCGCCGAAGAACAACCGGGCTGAACGCGCTATCCTCCCTCGTCGAAGCTTTCCGTGCGACTAAACTAAACGCTCGGTGAGCTCGGTCGCTCGCCCGTCGGCCCGTCGTCCGATCGCCGACCGGCCCGACGCCCACGGATTGCGCCCTAGTGTGACGTGACGTCTGTTTATCCCTCCCCTCCTTCCTACGCTCGTTCGCTTCTTTACAGGGCCTTCTGGCTCTCCCCTGGCTCTCCTCCGGCTGCATGGTTCCTCGCTCCACACCGACATCGGCAGGG